TGGAAATCTGGCCGAATAGATGATCTGACTACTGAAGGAGAGTCCCTTCAGGATCGTCTCAAGCCCCGGTACTCTACCTCGTCTGGTGGAGGAGAGAGGAGTGATATCACATTCAGCAACCTGGTATTTTCGGGAAAAATTAAGTCTGCCATTCGCTACCTGTCCAGTGATTCTTCCAATGATGTGCTGGGTATGACAGATGTAGTGGACGAAGAAACTGGAACTACCGTGAAGGAGGCACTGTTGCAAAAACATCCACCTGCTGCCGAGCCCCCGGTTTCGATACTTCTCGCCGGCGACCCGGAGCCAATCAACAGTATAGTGTTCCAGAAAATCACACCGGAGCTCATCCGACGTCTGGGCCGACAGATGAAGGGGTCCTCGGGCCCATCTGGTCTGGACTCTGACGCGTGGTGCCGGATGCTAACCTGTTATCGCAAATCGTCAGATGGTCTCTGTACTGCTCTTGCCAGCTTTGCCCAATGCCTGTGCTCGGAGGACTTGGATCCGGAACACCTATCCGCATTTACCGCCGCTAGACTTATTCCATTGGACAAACACCCAGGTGTGCGGCCGATTGCGGTGGGTGAAGTGTTCCGCCGGCTTGTGTGTCGTGCCGTTATGCGGGTGCTTGAGTCCGATGTACTGCGTGCTACTGCTCCCATGCAATTGTGCATTGGGGTGCCGTCTGCCTGTGAGGCAGGGGTTCATGCAATGCAGGAGTTGTTCGCACGAGAGGACACGGAAGGCATCTTGTTTGTAGATGCTACGAATGCGTTCAATTCATTGAATAGAAACGCGGCCCTCCATAACGTGCCCTATGTATGCCCCGCTATGGCAAAGGTGTTCCAGAACACGTACAGTTCTTCAATTCGTCTCTTCGTCTCCGGCGGCGGGGAGATTGAGTCACTGGAGGGTACTTGCCAGGGCGATCCGCTGGCCATGGCTCTGTATGGTATCGCTACAGTCCCGATGATTCGGCGCCTCCAGGAATCCAATCCATCTGTGGCTCAGGTTTGGTACGCGGACGACGATTCTGCAGGTGGCCGCGTTTCTTCATTGTCCTCATACTGGGGAGACATAAGCCAACTGGGCCCTGACTATGGATACTTTCCAAACCCACAGAAATCAATGTTGCTGGTCAAGCCGGAGCATGAGGAAGAGGCCCAGCGCCTCTTCTCCGCCCCTGGAGTTACCATCAAGACCAGCGGCAACCGTCACCTCGGCGGAGCGATTGGCAGTGAGGAGTTCTGCTCTGCCTTCATGGCCAAGAAGGTGGATAAATGGAAGCAGGTTCTGGATTCCCTGACGGGGATGGCTGTCACTCAGCCTCAGGCCGCATACACCGTTTTTACGAAGGGTCTGTCATCCACATGGACATACCACTTGCGTTGCTCACCTTGTTCGGCTGAGATACTGGCCGAGCTTGATGAGAGGATCAATGATTGCCTGATACCTGCCCTTCTGGGGGATGGCGTTCGTCCTGGTAGCCCTGAGAGAGAGCTGATGTCATTTCCAGTGCGTCTTGGTGGTTTGGCCCTCCCTCTGTTGCAGGATAGTGCACCAGCAGAGCTCGCAGCATCCTTGAGCATCACAAAGCCTCTTGTTCAGCTACTGTTGACTGGCACATATGCGAACCCTCCAAGCGTGCCTGGTGATATGGCAAGGAGCGATTTGTCGGATACTGCCCAGTCAGAGGGCTCCGGTGATACAACCCAGGAGGTTGCCGACCGAGTGAGGCTCTCCAATCATGATCCCGTCCGTGATGCTGTTGGGGACACCCGCCAGCTGGCACGCTCGACTCGGACAAGCAAAATGCGGAGCCTATGCAGCCGGCAACAAGACATTAAGGCGGACTTGAGCTCGGAGCAACAATTTCTTGTTGAAATCGCGTCCGAAAAGGGAGTATCGTCATGGTTGACTGTTGCCCCGCGGTGGCAAGATGGAACCATCCTGAAGAAATCCGACTTCCGTGATGCCCTGTGCATCCGCTATGGGCGAAGGTTGAGTGGGCTACCCGATTCATGTGTTTGTGGTGTGCCTCTCAGCCCCGCTCATGCACTTACCTGTGCCACTGGCGGCTATACCATTGCCCGTCACAATGAGGTGCGGGACTTGGTTGCTGGACTACTGAGGGAGGCTGGAGTGGTGGACGTAGAGACGGAGCCCCGGCTATTGCCCTGCAGCAGTGAGCATTTGCCTGGTGGTCGTTCCCTCAACCGATGCGCAGAAGCTCGTCTGGATGTGCGGGCTCGCGGCTTTTGGTCGTGGCAACAGGACGCTTACTTTGATGTGCGGATCACTCATCCCGCAGCGTCTGTGTTGTCTCGATCACAAGCCCTGAGTCAGCTGAAGTCTCACGAGCGAAACAAGAAAAATCAATACGCCAGCCGTGTGGTTAACGTGGAGCGCGGCTCCTTCACGCCACTTGTGTTCTCAACGTACGGCTTTAGTGGCCCAGAAACTACTCAATTCCTGAAATCATTGGCCTCCCTGTTTG